ACATCCCCACAGCAACCCAGCTCCTGGATCCCCACACCAAGCCAGCTCCTGCATCCCTAAACTGCTTCATCTCCTGCATCCCCACACCAACTCCCACCTCCCTCTGCAGAGCAGAGCCGTGGGTGGCTCGTGGCCACTCTCAGGGTGGCTCTGCCCTTCCTCTTGGCCACAGTGGATCCATCCTGTTCCCAGCTGTCCTTCCAGCCGTTTTGGGCATCTGCAGGCACTGTTGGAGACGAGGAGGTGGAGCTGGTGCCATCTGCCCTGGCAGCCACTCGTGGAGCACCAGCCACCTGCTCGGGGAGATGCTGAGCTGCACCTTGGCAGGGCCTTCCCTGGTAATGAAGCATCCCAGTCCCTCCCTGCTGCCAATTAGGGGCTGCCTGAGGAGGTGTCGTGGCTGGGGTGGCACTTTGGGACTGGTGTCATTACACCTGGTGCTGTGGGCAGTTGTTCTTCTTTGTGCAGGAGCAGCTTGGTTCTGATGTTGCCAACAGCTCTTGGCCCGGGTGGGCTCCCAGAGGCTCCTTGTCACCTCCCTCCTTTCCCCTTTTCTTTGCTTGTGGCACAAAGCTGGGCCAGAGGAGGGTTGGGTTGGACATTAGGAAATATCCAGAGGATGGCTGGGCACTGACCAGGCTCCCCAGGGCAGTGGGCACGGCCCCAGGGCTGCCAGAGCTCCAGGAGCGTTTGGACAACGTGGAATTGTTGGGGTGTCTGTGCAGGGCCAGGAGCTGGACTGGATGGCCTGTTCTCCAGGCTGTGGCAGTGTCCTTCCTCTTGTCTGGACTGTTCAGAGGGGAGGCTGGTGTGCCCCTCACCTTCCCAAATTAGCCAGAGGACAAGGAGCCCTCCTTAGCATCCCTTTATGCTGGTTCCCTGAACCAGGAGGTCACTGCAGGTTGGAAGGCAGGTCCTCACAGAGCCTCAGGGCACAGCACACCTGACCTGGAGCCCAGGCTCTGAACCCAGGCAGGTCTTTCCCCGAGCCTTGATCTCTTCCCAAAGCCTTTTCAGGCCCAGCCTGGGGCTGAGGAGCTGCCTGTGGAATCCCGCTGGCTCAGCCGGGGTGGGAAGCGCGAGGACGTGAATAATTTGTGACGACACCTTTTTGCTTTCCCCTTCCTCTCTAGAAAACTCATTTCTATTATTCTTGTTGTTGTTGTTATTTATTATCCCCTTTCTGCTCCAGTGCTGCTAAGAGCCAGGGAGAGGCTTGGCTGGAATTCAGCGTGGTGACAATGAGCCCGAGCCCTTCCCTTTTGTTCCCTGCAGCTCGCTGGAGTGCTGGATGGATACCTCACTGAGCTGCCTCTCTCCCTCATCTCTGGCGGCTCAGGAGGTTTGGGAAAGGTCAGCTCCGAGCTTTTTTTGGCTCCAGACAAGTGCTGCTGTCATTGTTTGCCAAATGCCTCGCTGTGGCCTGTCTCTGCAGCGCTGGGATGATTTAACCAGAGCTGTGCTCTCACCTCCCTGCACGGCCCCGCTGCCCTTTCCAGTTTTGAAGCTCAGCCTTGAGCAAGTGATAGGACAAAAGGTTTTAAAGTGAAAGAGGAGAGATTTGGATTGGATATCAGGAAGGAATTCTTCTCTGTGCAGGTGGTGAGTCACTGGCACAGGTTGCCCAGGGAGGTTGTGGACTCCCCATCCCTGGAAGTGTCCAAGGCCAGGTTGGACGGGGTTTGGAGCAACCTGGGCTAGTGGAAGGTGTCCCTGCCCGTGGCAGGAGGTGGAATGAGATGGTCTTTAGGGTCCCTTACAACTCAAAGCATTCCATGACTCTGTGATTCCTGCTCTCCCAGGGCTGGAGCTGGTTGGCAGGGAGTGGGAAGGTGTCTGTCAAACACCGGGGCTGTAACAGCTCACTGGTACAACATTCAGCTGATGTGGAACAGGAGGTAAATAAATACCTTTTATATTTATATTTTGCTCACTTGTTGGCATATTATGTTCCTCAAGTGTTTGTGAAATACAGTTCTGGGGGCAAGGATAGACTGAGACTTCAGTTCTTATAAAATAGCAGTTTTCTTTATGTGGCTTGACCCAATTAACTTGATAATGCATTGTGGCCTTTCTGTCGTTTACCAGTGCTTTTATCACTTCAGATGAAGAGATTCTTTAAAATATGCAGGTGAAATAATTAGAGGGAGGATCACTTAAAAGGTGACAGGACCCAGTTTGGCTCCAAATCTAAAAGAACAATTTTAAAAGTGTCTTTGAAGAAGACATGGCAAAGCCATGAGCAGTGTTTTCATCTCTTCTGAAGTCCTGTCCAGGGCTGAAAGCTTTTTTTTTTTTTCCTGCCCAGTTCACAGGCTGGAAACTGTGGAGCACAGGGACCAAAGGCAGAAGTGCTGTTGGTGCAGAGAATTATAGAAACATGGAAACAATGAGGTTGGAAAAGCTCTCCAAGGTCTCTGAGTCCAGCACAGTGTTCACCACTCAGCCATGTCCCCAAGTGCCACATCCACACATTTTCTGAACACTTCCAGGGATGGTGATTGCTCCACTTCCCTGGGCAGAGTGAGCCAGGTGGGAAGGAAACGCAGCCAAAAACAGCAGCAAGGGTCTTGGGATTGGGGTTTTTGGGGTGGTTTGTGCCGCCCTGAACTGGCTCCTACCAAAAACTTCTCCAGCTTGGGTGGGACCAGACCTGGCAGCCCCTGCCTTGGATGTGTGAGGCTCCTTTCCCACACTCTGAGGCAAGAACAGAAGAGCTCAAGGAAGGAGTGAGTTGTCTTTGCCACCTGCTTTAAAACCCTGGATGTGCTTCCCCCCTTGGTTTCCCATCTGGTGGCTTCAGGTGGGCACCTCTCCCCATCACCTTCGAGCAGGCACCTGGTTGAACTCCAGGCTGGCTCTGCATCCTGCTTATGGCTCTGCATCCCACACCTGGCTCTGCATCCCACACCTGGCTCTGCATCCCACATCTGCACACCCCAGCTCCCTTCCATCCCTCTGAGCTCCAGGGCAGCTCCACCTCAGCCTCCCCAGCGACTGATGGTGCATCACAGGTACATCCCTGCTCCACAGAGCTGTGCCTGGGGGTGGAGGGAACGGGATAAATCCTGCTTTTCCCACTCGGACGCCTCCCCTGCACCCTCTAATCTCGCAGCTCATCTGCATTTAAAAAAAAAAAAAAAGAAATCAAAAGGGAGAAAGAGCAGCAGTGGGAAGTGCAGGAGAGACTATCCAGAGAGCTTCATAAAAATGATGAATTGCCTTTAGATATTGGGCAGGAGAGGAAGAGAGTTCCTTTTTTATTTCACGATATTAGCCTGTAGTGGCGCATTGTTGCCGCGCGTGTGAGCTCGGGAATCTCGAGGCAGCCGGAGCCAAACGCCCGGGAATTGAAGTGTAAATGAGCCGCTGCTGAGCATTTTATTTTGCCTTTTATGATTTCTCTTTCTCTCATTATGTAGGTCAATCTCCATTTCTAACGTTGGGCTGCGTGAGGGGGAGGGCAGGGGGAGGTGAGGGGTGCCCGGGGGTGGTGGGTACTGTGCTGGTGATGCCAGTGCAGGTTTAGGTCGGGTATCAGGGAAAGGTTCTTCCCCCAGAGGGTATCTGGGCACTGACCAGGCTCCCCGGGGCAGTGGGCACGGCCTCAAAGCTGCCAGAGCTCCAGGAGTGTTTGGACAACGCTCTGAGGGACAGGGTGGGATTGTTGGGGTGTCTGTGCAGGGCCAGGGGTTGGACTCTGATCCTTGTGGCTCCCTCCCAGCTCAGGATATTCCATGATTCTATGGCATTTACCTGCCCAGCAGGGCATGTTGTGAGCGTCAGGCTGTGCCTGTGGCACACCCAAGGGGCACAAAGCTCTGGCATCTCCCTCTCTCTCTGTCTCTCACCTGTGCCCCTTGGGTCTGGAGACATCTGCCCCCTCTCTCCCTCCCTCCCACTGAAGGATGACATCTCCTGCCACATTAGCAATTCAGATGCTGAACTGGCCTGTGCTGGCTGCTCTGATTAGTGGATGTGATAAAGAGATTCCTGCATCTCCCTGGGAGTTGTGGTGTGGCTGCTTTGCATACACGGCAGTAAATCAAGCAGAGTGTGTGTGTGTGGGGGATGATCTGTCCCACACTGAGACAGGTGAGGACGTTTCCTTCTGCGTTCCCTGCCTTCCCTTTCCTTTGCTGGTGAGCAGAAAACGCTCTCAGCTGTGTTGTGGAGGACTCAGCTTGATCAGAGGGGTCCTGGGCAGAGCTTCCTGGAGTGCTAGGGATGCTCCTCTGTGCAGTGGGATCAGAGGTACCTCCCTGCTGTCCTTGACCTCCCTGCTGGGCTGCAGGGCTGGGGACAGACCCTTCTGTCTCCAGTTCATGCTGACAAAAAGCAGAAGGGGCACAGAGAGGACAAAACCACGGGGGTGTTAGTTCCTTTTGGACTGTGCTGCACCCCAGCCTTTTCCCTCCCTACCCTCGTGTGGGATGAAGGTGCCTGGCACATCCTCTGCCTCACCTGGCCGCTCTCAAAGGGCAGCAGGGCTCAGTCACCAGTCCCTGCTGCCCTTCCCCGTGGCCTCTGTGCTCTGTGGATCAGGTGCTGAGCTTGCCTGTGTCTTTGCTGGGCACAGGCAGGAGTTGGGAGCCCAGGGTACAGCAGCCCTGGTGGGGCACACCCTTGGTCTCGTGGCTTTGGGGTGGGTGGCTCTGGAACTGTGGGTAGGTGTCCCCACACCCCAAACGTGTCACCCTTGGTGTCCCTGGAGAAGAACCCATCTTAACCCCCTGGCCCCTGGCAGGCAGCAAGAGGCAACGTGCCAAGGTGGTGAAATCCTTGCCCTAAGCCAGGAAAGGACCTTGCTGTGCCTGGAGCATCCTCCTGGAAGTCTGGGTACCCTTGAGGGCTGCAGCACTCCCTGTCCTGAGCCTGGGTGGTGTGGGCTGCTCTGCCAGGGAAGGGAAGGGGGTGGCACGGGTGGGTGCATCCCTCTGGACCCCTCCTGTGGGCAGAGGGGCCGTGGCTCACCCTTCTCTCCGTGTCTGTGCCCGCAGTGTGCCGGGGGATGCTGTGTGGGTTCGGGGCCGTGTGTGAGAGGAGCTCCAGCGACCCCTCCCAGGCCTCCTGTGTCTGCAAGAAAACAGCCTGTCCTGTCGTGGTGGCCCCTGTCTGTGGCTCCGATTACTCCACCTACAGCAACGAGTGTGAGCTGGAGAAGGCTCAGTGCAACCAGCAGAGGAGGATCAAGGTCATCAGCAAGGGGCCGTGTGGTGAGTGAGGACAGGATCTCCTCGTGGAGGGTCCAGGGAGACTTGTCCTGAGCTCACTGACATCATCACTGGCGGTGTCCTGGGTGATGGGGACGTGTCTGATGGGAAGGGACACGGAGGGAATCACCAGCTGATCAGCAGAGTGTAATAAGAAGGCAAAGTGATGGCCAAAGGCTGTTCAGGGGGTGCATGGCAGCCCCATAGGGGAACAGCCCACTCCTGGGCATCCCTGATGTCCTGGAGGATGGGAGGGGACACTGAGGGAATCACCAGCTCTGCCCTGGTGATCAGCAGAGTGCAGTAAGAAGGTGAAACGATGGCCAGAGGCTGTTCAGGGAAGGGGTGTGTGTATGTGTGACATCTCTACCTGCTGCCCCACCCCACCTCCCCAGGGTGGGTCACATCTACCACAGCTGGAAGTGGGAGTTGGCTCATGCAGGGCTGGATGGGCTGATAAAAGCCCTTCCCCAGCCTGGCCTTCACCAGCTGTGAGCAAGGAGCTGTGTAAATGAGCCCCCCCGGTC